CTTGATTTAAAACATTTCTGTGACTGGTGGAATGTTTTTATTGTAGCAGATGACATTTTGATTTGTATTTGTCTTGGTTTATTAGCTTCCTTTGTGTTTATTTTGGCGTGGTGATTTCAGAAGGGAAATGAGCTTTTGTATGACCCTTCTCTCTGTGACAATACTTGGCAGCACTGACAAGTCAGGTCATGATTGTATTAATTACCTTCATTATTTATAAAGTCAGTGCCCCACTTTAGCAATGATTAAAAATGAGCAACATAATTTTTAAAAATAATATTCTTGAATGAGGTTTCTTTTTATCCTCGAATTTTATACAGTGTGTGCCTATGTGTGTATGTGAGCATATATAAGAATAATGGAATATACTTATTTCTTCTCTTAAATCAGATAGTTTGGTTAGTGTGGTCTAGTTTCTGATTTCTATGAATTTGTAAGAATGAATTGGTGTCTTGCAAAATATATTATCTTTTTACCCTCTTAAGCCTGATACAGATTATAATCTGTCTGATTCAAATGTTCACTATAAATCTGATCATGTTAACTCCTGGTTAAAATTGTATCTTGTATTCCAGAGCTTTATCTTGATACTAATATTCTTAGCCAGACACAGAAGCTTGACCCTTATTATATATCTGCTGTCTCACCCCACAGTGAACTTGGCCATCTGCATTCCATCTTGTCAGTCTTCTTTCTGTTCTTACAAGTCATGAACACTGAAGCCCCAGGGCCTTTGCACATTCTATCCTTTACAGCGAGAGTCGATTGCCAGAGCATTTAAGCAGCAACAGGGCATGGGCACTGACCAGTTGGGAGAGAAACGGACTAAAGCAGGATTCTGGAAGCCCCCTGCTGAGCCAGTCATTAGTTTTTTAGGTCATGCATCTTGGTTTGTGGGCTGGGGTCCTGGTCCAGCCTGGGAGGCAAGGTGATAGTTGATGGGAAGGGGTCCCGACAGTGGCTACTCACCAGCCTGCTTACCAGCTGAAGGCCATACTAAGTCTCTGTGTATACCTGGAAATTTTCTTTCTGTCTTCACCTTGCAATACATACACAATCTGATTATATCATATCATATTTTCTTTTCTTCCATTTCCTTTCACTTCTTCAGAGGAGCTTCCCCTGACCTTCCTGATGAAGGTTATTCTCACTGAGGTTTTCATTAGAAACTCCTGTCTCTTCACATTGTACCTTTCACAGTATCTTTCACAGTGTTCAGTTTACAAATAAACTTTGTAAGTAATTGAATCATATGTCACTCCCATTAGTTTGTATAATCCAGGAGGGCAGGGGTCATCAGTTAACTGATGGTCCCATCTCCACCTTCCTCCAGTATTAAAATTTCAACACCTAATAGGAGGTAAATATTTATTGAATGAATGAATTCTCAAAAAGACTTTAGAACTTCTTTGAGCATGTTTATATTTTGCAAATGCAACTGATAATGCATATTACTTGTGGGATGCATTGTTGAGTAGATAACTTTTTTTTTTAAAGTGGCCATATTCTTAATGCCTGCTTGAACAGTTTTCTGAAATAAAATTTTAAGTAGTGGTGGCTGTATCCCATGCTGTTATTTATCTTTTCTTTCCAGTAGAAATGCTTCTCACTCACTTGGTGTCCAGTGAAATGATTTAATCTTCAGAGCTGATTTATTCATTTTCCTTAAAGCTCAACAAGAAAAATTACTTAAAAGCCTACAATAATGTACAGGGTGTTAGGAACATTGTAACAGTCAGTGGTGGATAAGCTGTGGTCCTACCTTCAGAGACACTTCAGTCTAGTAATTTTCTCTTAATCCCATTTATAAGCATTTATAATATTTTGTTTTCCCATTGCCATATTAGCATGTAGAGCATATATTTTGCTCTCTGTAGACCACAGAGCAAAGCCTCATATTTATTTGGATGCATTTTAATGATTGTTATAATGTTTCCACAGGATCTTCTGCTAAAATATATCCTTGTTTTTTTCTTAAATTCCAACAATCTGTTCTTTTTAAGCCTACTGTTTTGTTATTAACAAATTCTTTTTTAAGTACATTTAATGTATAAGCTGGATAGCTTTGACTGCTCAAAGAAGGAAGTATTATTTCAATCATTGTTAGACTCCTCAAGGCTTTCCTGTGTTTGAGACTTAACTGTTGTCCCCAGACTTTAATATTCCTTGCAACTGTTCCCTAGCTTTTTATGAATATTTGACATTTCATGTATCATATGATTGCATTTAATGTTTCCAATGCCTTTTATGAATAACTGTCATGGTATTTATTTGAAATGTTATTTTTTTTTCAGTTTTCTACTGGGTGTATATTTGTATAGCGCAGCAATTGTGAGAAGAGTGACATATACACTATAGTATCCTCACATGCATGGTTGTTGTTGTTCAGTCATTCAGTTGTGTCCAGCTCTTTGCAACCCCATTGACTGTAGCATACCAGGCTTCCCTGTCCATCATCATCTCTTGGAGCTTGCCCAAACTTAGGTCCATTGAATCAGTGAGGCTGTCCAACCATCTTGTCCTCTGCCATCCCCTTCTCCTCCTGCCTTCAGTCTTTCCCAGCATCACGGTCTTTGCTGATGAGTCAGCTCTTCACATTAGGTGTGCCGAGTGTTGGGGCTTTAGTTTCAGCATCAGCCCTTCCAATGAATATTCAGCACTGATTTCCTTTAGGATTGACTGATTTCATCTCCTTGCAGTCCACGGGACTTGTGCAAAGCTGTCATATTTAAGTGTAATGTAGAATCATTTAAGTTATTTTATTCATGTTAATGGCTGAAAATAAATATAGGGACTTCCCTAGTGGTCCAGTGGCTAAGACTCTGCTCCCAATGCAGGAGGCCTGGGTTCAATCTCTGGTCAGGGAACTAGATCCCACATTTCAGAACTAAAGATCTCGCAAGCTGCAACTAAGACCCAGCACAGTCAAATAAGTAAATAATATATTAAGTTTTTTTTTTTTAATATCTTACTGATTGAACAGAAAAAAGGAAGGCAGGCTAGGTAACTGAAACCCTTTGGTCCAGGTGGGGGAAATCAACCACTGGAAAGCTTTGAGAAGCAATGATTGAATGAGGTAGAATATGAGACCTTCTTTCTATACTTAAATCATTTCATTATTTGGGGCATAAGTCTCTTGGAACTGAATGCTATTGAAAATAGCTTCAAAACATCTCAGCTTCATATGCACAGTGTGACAGACACCACATGTGACTCATTCATATTCTCTTTCCTTTTTCACTTCAGTACACACATCACTTCCAGTTGCCACCTAATGCCTTTTTTGATTGGAACTAATGGCTTTTCTTTTTTTTTTTTTGCTTCTAGAGCCATTTTGCCACCCCTTTGAGAGGCTAAGTGCTGGGTCATTAATACTCCCTGAAACAGCCTCCAAACAGTGACTCCTGGGAGTTGGCGTATAAATACCCCAGCTCCCTTGCCCCTTGGCAAGAATACCTGGACAACTCAGTGTACCTCTGTCATTACTCTGAGGCATATGTTCTACACAAGCTGGACTTTGGAGTTTCCCCAGAAGGAATAACCTCTGCTTAGCTCTCACATCTTACCCTTTATTGTCTGTCTTCCTTTCTCTTTCACTTTTCCATGTCCTGACTGATTTTATTGTTCACCTCTCATCTAAACTGCTTGCACCTGAATTCGTTTTGCAGTGTTTGCATTAAGGGGAGCCTTAATAGTGAAAAATGGTCACAGATCCCATGATGGTGTAAGTTGTCAACCTGCAGTTCTTAGAGGAGTAGTTCTCAATTTTATTTCCATCTATCTCAGATTCCCTTAGGCAAAGTCAAAGTTATGCCTAAATCCCAGAATTCTGGTTGCAGTTTTACCTCTTACTCCCTCTGCCTCCCCCAAGAATTGTATTGTAATGAACAAGAGCAACATCATATAACAGTAACTGATTTAATAACTTGTTTTAAGTATGTAAGTTGCAAGAGATCATGTTTTTACTCTTGAAATTGTCATTTGGGACACACTTAATTCTAACTGAATACATCACATGTCATGGCAAGATCCTGTAGCTAAGCAGTACTGAGATTGCTCTCCTTTCTTAGCAACAACTAAGATAGCCCAATCCATAGCAGCTGCTGACTGAAAGTTATACACATTCTCTGCTAAAATGACTGACATTAAAGTCGTTAATTCTCCTGTGTGGAACCATTTGAGTTTCAGCAATCAAAAAGTGATTTTCTGATTTTATGCGCGTGTGCGTCTAGCCTACTTGATCATTAATGATGCAGTTGAGGTAGTTTCAGATAGCCACCAAAAATGACACAGGATATGCACATAATTATCTACTCTCAGCCAGCACAGTCAAGTTTATGAAAATTCAAGAAAGCCAAAAATAAGGTAGTTCCATTTGCAAGATTATCTGACTGAACAATTTTCATTGTTAGCATTTTTATCTTTTATGAAGCTTATGTAATTGAGGACTTTCTACAGTTGTTCCTGAAAAAAAGGCTTAGGATGAATGTTGACGATGTTATTTATAATTTATATGTCTTAGGAAGGATTAAGAGACTATGAAAAGCAGTCCTTCAAGATATCTGCTGATTTGACTCATTTAGTCTAACCAAAATTATTATTATGAGAGAAAATGAGAAGAATTTTAATTTCAAAGCCATATTTTATTTGTTATGATTACTATCTAGCAAAGTTTTAATATTTAATATTTTAGTTTTGTTGGACATTTCTAATTTTGTGAAGCTTCCTCTGTATGCCTATCAGTGACATAAAGAGTTTTTTAAGTATCTACATACCATACATCTTTATTTGCACCAAAAAGATTCATTTCATTTGGGGATTTTGGGTGTTGTGAATGGTACAGTTTTATGAGAAGAAAATCTACAATTTAAAGCAATTCCTTTTTTTGAAGTCTGACTTCTTTGTATATATATTTTACAGATTAAAGGATTTACCCGAAGACTAAACATTCTATTCATCAGAAACTGGACAAGAGTTACTCTTGCTTTTGGAAGTTAAAGATGTTGTTGTCATGGAAGCATTTGATCCTTCTTTCATTCATTGGCTGCCTAGGAGGTAATAATAAACTGTATTTTCTAAGTTGAAGTTAGAACTATGCTTGAGTCATGTGTTAAATAATTTTTAAATGTTGAACAATACTGTACAAATCTTTTTTTCTGAGAAACAAAATACTACTTTTCTGATAAATGGAGTCTTGTTTTGCTTCCTAATTTTTGCAAGCTATTTTACTTTCATCACAAATATAGTGTCACTTACTATAACAGATCTAGTTTAGTGCTATAAATATAACAACCCAGAACTTGAGAATAGTAGTGACTGTATGACATTTTTTCCAAAATGTTTAAATCTTGTAAACTTTAGTATAAAGAAAGAATATAGATTTTACAGAATTTCAGTATTTTCATGTCTAATCTTAAAAACAATACAGTTTTTCTTCTACCAAATAACCTATTTAAGGGAGTAAAAATAAAGATAGAATTTTAATTTTTTAAACTTTGAAAATTTGTAGCTTGGAACAAAACAAAAAAGGGAAAGATTCTCCTATATTCACCATACAAAAGCAACTCTTAAAATATGTTTCATTTTGTTCGTTTTGTTTCATTTTCTGGAACAGTAGAGGAATAAAGACAAAGATTGCTTTAAATGAAGTAATATATGTACAATGATTAATTTTTTTTTGCTTTTTCATCTTATTACTTTATTTCTTTTTATTATAAAATTTCTCCAGTAACTAAACAGTTGAGAGAATGGTATGATGAATACCCACATATGCACCATTTTATTGTATCTTTAATTGTACTTGTTCTATCTATATACATATGTAAATGCATTTTCCATTTATTGATAGATTGACTACATCACTTGAAAGTAGGTTACAGAAGTTTTCACCTCTCACCCCCAAAATTTAAGCATCTGTCTCCTGAGAAGATGACCTATTTTCTAGATGAACAAGTTCTTTTTGATACTTAAGGAAAGTAGACAAAAATGTGGCCTGTCATTTTTCTTTTCTAAGAGGAGGAAATTTGTGTGGAATGAGGTCAAATGCAGTGTCAGGTAAAACATATGTTACTTGAAGACATGTTTATATTGGAGTAGACTTCTGAGCCCTTATGGCAAATTTTAAACATTCTTAAAATATTTAAATGATACTTAAACCTCCAACTTTTAAAATAAACTTTTTTTTTAAGCAGGTTGTTCCCTGATGCCTCAGTTTTATTTTCTAAAAGATTTTCTTTGCTACTAACCTAGCATTGAACAAAAAAGGAATAATTATTTTAAATTTTTACTGTTTTAAATAGTCTTTGGAGAAGATTGACACAGATATGAAAGTAATTTTTTTTCTTGCGCTGTTTCCTTCATTTAAAAAAATTTTAAATTTGAGTTCTGTTGTTAAAGGAGAAAAATGAAAGGGAATATAATTCAGCAGTATTATTATTCACAATGTCAACTTTCATAGAAACAACCTTGAAATTTTACAGTTACTTGGAAGCGGGTGGATATCCTCAGAAAGTGGAAGTAAAGCTAAAGGAAGTGGGATTAGTGTGTCAAAGGTTTAAAATTTTGAGTTGTAATTTGGCACTATGTACAAATTGTATTGATTGCTTTCAGTAACTTAGATGTTTTACACTTATGATACTGCTTTCTTATAGAGAAAGCAGTAAAAGCAGTATTCATTTACAAAATGTTAAAACGTTATTTAAAAAGTTGTAAAGGAACACTTGATTTTCTAGGTATGTTAAAAAACCATAAAAGTTGGTAAAGGAGAATTGGATTAATATATGATAAATTGTATATAGAGTATTACTTACAGAATTGGTAATCTTTACAACTACAATATGGAGAAGAATTTGTCTCTGACCAATTTTCTAAAGAGTATTGATTGCATACAGTTCTTTATATACTGAATATACTCTTTTTGCATTTATATAAAATTTAGATAAAAAGCCAGCTTGTGAGTGCGATATTCTATTAACCAATATTGGGTCACTTTTTAAATATTAAATTTAAAATCTGTACATGATGTGGTAGGTATATATAAATAAATACCAAGTAAAGACATATTATGTGAATTCACTACCTGGAGTTTATCCAAAGACATTAACTCAATAAATAGAGCAAATGCTTGATAATTTTGACTTTCTGTTTTCTCAGATCTAAGCTTTCTGTTATCCATTTTTATTTTGTGCATTTTAAAAACTATTTCCTTCTATTGTTTTGTCTCTGCATATTTCTCTCTGCAGCAAAGAGGCAAATTGCAATTTTGAGCTGGCAGCTTTTCCTAAGATGAACATGATCAATTTTTTCCTCAAAAAACCAGGCTGCATTCATTCTTTAAAATATATTTATTAAGCATGTATTATAAGCTGCACATTGTTTCCAGTGAAGAAAAGGGACATAGATCTGTGTCATGTGGGGTTTATATTCACTCAGGTTGTGGAAGAGAATCACAGTGAGTTAGTAGATGATGGAGCTATTAAGAAAAATAAGCAGCATAACATGAAAGTTGGGGGGGCTGGGGCATGAATTACCATTTTAAATGACGTCTTCAGATTCATCCTCATAGAGAAGGTGATATTTGGCACAAAGACTTAGCAGTGAACGAGCTGACCTTGTGGGTATTTAGGGAAGAGAGCTTCAGGCAGAGTCAGCAATCCATGCAAGTGTTTAATATATGACATGCTGAGTATTTCTTGAAATAGCAGGAAAGTTAGCCTAGTTGGATATGGAACAGTTATGGAAAAGAAGTAGTAGGTGAAAGTCAAGAAGTAATGTGGAGATGGATGTAGCAGAAAATGAAGGCTTTGTGTATCACTGAAAATATTTACTGCTCTTGCTTTGAATGCCCTCAGGAGCCATAGTGTGATTTGATCAGGGCAGTGATGTAATTTGGCATATTTTTTTTTTTACGGACCTGGCTGGATATTGTGTTGCGGATTGATTGTAGAGATACAGGTGAGCAAGCAGAGGCCGCAGTAGGAAGTTAATGCCGTAATCAGGGAAGGGATGTCGGTAGCTGACTTCAGGGTGGTAGCAGGGGTTGTTGATGTTCAGTTGCTAAGTTGTGTCTGACTCTTTGTGACCCCATGGACTACAGCATGCCAGGCAGGCTTCCCTGTCCTTCACTGTCTCCTGGAGTTTGCTCAAACTCACGTCCATCGAATTGGTGATGCCATCCAACCATCTCATCCTCTGTCACCTCCTTCTCCTGCCCTCAATCTTTCCCAGCCATCAGGCCTCAGCTCTTCTCATCAGGTGGCTAAAGTATCAGGGTGATAGTCAGATTTTGTATATATTTTGAATATATATTCATGAGTATTTGTGGATGGGATGTATGTGGAATATGAGAAAAAAGAAAGGCTTGAAGATGACCTCAAGGCTCAAGTGTCACCTTGTGTCCACTTGAAGAGGTGTACCTTGTGAATGAAATGAAGAACCGGCAGAAGACAGGGATGAGTTTTCCAAACTGAAGGTCATTACGAAGTAAGGGATTAAAAGATTGCTTCTTTGGATCATGTCAAGCATTTTTATTAGAATAAATAAAATAAGCATAAAGTATAATGTATCAGCATTCACTGTCCATTTAGTAAATGTAGTCTGCTGAGCAATTCTAGGCATTTGGGATATACCTGTGAACAAAACAGACAATGTCCCAGTCCTCCTAGAGCTCTCCTTTTAATATATGTGAATTGATCTTACATATGTTTTATGAGTCTTGATCTTACATATTTTTTTACTGAGTTGCTATGAAAAAAGTTGAGAACTATGTAGAAAACAGAGAGTTAGAGATAAGAACCCTCCAGAAGTCTAAGAAACCAGAAAAAGAAGTAACACTCAGATAAGGAAAATAATAGTAAAGACTTCAAAATTAGTAATACTAATAGTACTCATTAGTGGGTGTTTAGGCACTGTGGAATATCCTTACTTAGGTCATCTAATGAACAAAAATACAGTGAAACAGATATTATTGTTTCTGTTTTGGAAGTGAGGAAACAGTCCCTATAAGTTTAAGTAACTTGCCGTGTGTGTGTGTATACACACACATAGGCTTTCCTGGTGGCTGAAACAGTGAAGAATCCACTTGCAATGCACGAGACCTGGGTTTGATCCCTGGGTTGGGAGGATCCCTTGGAGAAGGGCATGGCAGTCCTTTCCAGTATTCTCACCTGGAGAATCCCAGGGATAGAGGAGCCTGGTGGGCTACAGTCCATGGGATCACAAAGAGTTGGAAACGATTTAGTGACTTAACACACAGGTTCCAATCTATATGGTTATCTCAAGATTTCTTTTTATCTTTCCAATCAGAATATAGCTCCCTAATCATTAGAATTTATCACTTCAGTAGTTGGTCTTCTGGAATGAAGTGAGAGGTATAAGGCCATGGGTTAAAAATTACCAGGACCCAAAGAAATCATTGTTTTGCTCCTTCATTACCTACTAGTTCATTGCTTAGCTGTTTTAGGTACTTTTTATGTTCACTGTCTGCCGAGCCACTAGCCGCATATGCTAGCTGAACTCTTGAAAAATGTACCTAGTCCCAGCTGAAATGTGCCCTAGTGGAGACTGTAAAATGCATCCAGAATATAAAAGACTTATTACCAAAAATATTGAGTTAAAATAAATTATTTAAATATCTCAGTAATTTATATTGAATTAAATGCTGCTTTGATAATAATTAAGTTATATTTGGTCAAGTAAAAGCATTATTAAAATTAACTTGTTTCTTTTAACCTTTTTAATGTGATTACTAGAAATTATAAAATATATATATTACTTGTATTATATTTCTTATGGACAGCATGGCTCTTGATACTTTTAAAATAGAAACTTGACCGTCTTGCAAAGATCTTCTAATATCTAATATCTCAAAGTAGCCTACAGCTGGGAAACTAATGAGAACTTTCTAATTTCCCGTGAAAAGTTATAAATATTTCCTGAGTGTTAGCAGCAAATACTCAATCCTTTGTCAGATGAGTTCAGATTTCAGGTATCATTGCTTTGTGAGAGTAGATAAGATAAATCCTTCATCAGTGCATGTAAAAATTCTAAACTTTGCA